GCGAACTGCCCTTTTAAACCTACAGTGCATGTTCGAGGCTACAGGACAGCACCAGAACCTCTGAGGCAAAAGCTGCCACCTACCCCCACCCATTCCAATTCCCAGAGGACCCTCCTCAAATGATCCCTCCATGACCACCTCCTTCTCCCTCCTTGTCTGCTCCTTTCCTGCAGAATCAACTCCTCCATCCTCTGGGCTCCCAAAGCACTTTTAAAAACACCCCTTTCCAAGGACCTACTACATGGCATTGTGGTTTCCTCTGGGTTTGTCCCTTTACACACTCAGGTTAGTCTACGAGGGCCCCTGGGGGCAGTTGGTTGTATTTGCATCCGTCTCCATTGTTAGGTGGTCAATCTCCAGAGCAGGACTCATCTGTTCATCCCCCTCTCACCAACATGAGCCTATGAGGGCTCTGTGAATAAGTACGTGATTGAGTGTCTGGGGAAAATAGCCTCTAATGTTAGTCACCCAGAATAGGCCGACTCTGTCTGGATCCATCAATGGCTGGCCACTGCTTGAGTGGATGTTATGTAGCCCAAAAAGGATAGAGTGGTCTCTACCGGATGTCTGCAGGTGAATTTCTAAGGCACACCATTGGTTTTTGATCAGGTAACGGACATGGCCCTGTTCTAGCTTGCTGGGGCTACCATAACCAAGCCCTACAAACTGAGTCGTTTCAAGAGCAGATACTTATGTACTCATGGTTCTGGAGCCTGGACATCTGAGATCAAGGAGCCGGCAGGTCCTGCTTCTCCTGGGGTCTCTCCCCTGAGCTCACAGGCAGCTGCCTTCTCTCTGTGTCCTCACATGGCCTTTTCTCTGTGCCTGTGCATCTCTGTCTTACAGAGACACCGGCAATATTGGATCAGGGCCCCACACGAAGGCCTCGTTTTAACTTAGTTACCTCTTTGTAGCCCCCATCTTCAAATACAGTTATCTTATCAGGTACTGGGAAGTTGGGACTTTGACAAATGGATCCTTGCGGGCGGGGGGTGGGGGGCACAATTCAGCCCATGACAGGCCCTGATGTAAGTTATCCAATTTACCATCAAGAAGTGCGCTTACAGGGCGCCTGGGTGGCTCAGTCGGTTAAGCGTCTGCCTTGGCTCAGGTCATGATCTCAGGGTCCTGGGATCGAGTCCCACATTGGGCTCCCTGCTCAGTGGGGAGTCTGCTTCTCCCTCTCCCACTGCCCCTAGCCCTGCTCATGCCCTCTCTCTCAAATAAATAAATAAATAAAAATTTTTTAAAAAAGAAGTGCATTTACAAAGGTCCTACTGCTAAAGTAGAGAGAGAGAGCTATTTGCCTTTGGAATCAGCCCAAGCCTCATCTGATAGACTTTTCTGAGTAGCTCTGGATCCACATGTGGAGATTCCCAAGTGCAGGGCCCCAAGAGCATTTCAGGGAGGTCAGAGCATAGGCTGACTACAGTGGCAGGTAGGACATTTGGGAAGGAAGAACTGTCGGGATGAAAACCTTGTGCTTCACTGGAGAACTATGCACTGTTTCTAGAGCACGGATTGGCAAACTTTTGCTGTAAAGAGCCAGAGAATGAATGTTTTCGTCTTTGCTGGCCATATAGTTTCTGTCTACTCAAGGATGCTGTTATAACTGGAAGCCCTACGTCAGGCCTAAACAAGTGGGTGTGGCTGTATTCCAATAAAACTTTATTTACAAAGACGGGTGGCTGGCTGGATTGAGCCTGCAGGCTTTAGGTTGCCCTGGTCTAGAGCACACCCTTTCTGAGTTACCTGATTTTGACTTTACATGGATTCTGAGCCTATCGGTTGAGCTATTTTACAACTCAGTAAGTTATTGATAAATGGTAACAATGCAAAGTAATTCTTGACTTTAGAGATGTAAAGTTTTTACTTCGGGAGTCTCAACTGACTTCCTTCCCCCACTTTGGAAGAAGCTGGTCTTGCCTGAATTTGCACATGTCTTTCAATATCGCTGCTCTATAAATATGTCGATTCTTTGTATTCTCCATTTCTATTCCCTCATTAATAATGAATTAAACAAAATCTTTAACATGCACATTATATCTATGTGAAAGTCATGATTCTTTCTTTCTTTCTTTCTTTCTTCTTCCTTTCTTTCTTTCTTTCTTTCTTTCTTTCTTTCTTTCTTTCTTTCTTTCTTTCTTTCTTTCTTTCTTTTCTTTCTTTCAGCGCTGTTTACAAAGGACTTAGAAACTATGCTAAGAGCATTGGGCTTTTGCCCTCTGGGACAATGGTCTTTAAACTTTTTGGTCTCATATCTTTATCAGTAAATATTTTTTAGCCACCTTCCCTTGATATATGAATATAAGATACTATAGATAGATGAATATATATAAACATACACAAAAAACAGAATTGGAAAAGAAGTACAGAATTTTTAATAGTGGTTTTTTCATATTTCAGAGGATCCTCTTCCTAACATCTTTGGAGACCACTTTTTTGGGGGGGCAATAAGGAACCAAAAATATTAAGCAACTGGAAAAAAATGAGATCTGATACCAATAATATACCAACCAAGCATGTTGGAAAAGCTAACTGTGGCTTGAGCTGATTGGCCCAAGGGGATAGCAGAATTCCTCTTAAGGGGAGAACTGTTCCTTTGTTTTGGAAAATAACATAATGGAAATGATTGGTTATAAAAGGTAAGCCCGGGTGATTGTAGTCTAAATGGAAGCAGCTCCAACATGAAGAGTTCAGTTATTTGTCTAATAAACATCAGAATTTTGGCATTGTCTGTTAGAGCTTGGGGTGGGGAGGTGGGGGCCATGAGGACTCCGGCAGAGATGAGAAGAGGGTCTGCGCTAAAGAGGGGAGCTCCTGAGCAAAACGGCAGAGCGCAAGGTTATGGCTTTGAGCGGATCATGGCCACAGGCACAGAAAATGACCAATAAATATCATAAAGAGTGGTGTTGATGAGCCATTAGTATGCTCTATCACCTACAGAGGCTCAGTAAACAATGTTTTTGCCCAACAGAATGGAACATGAAGAAAGCAAATAATAATCCAAAAATTCCTTAAGGGGACTAGAGGCAGAGAGAGCCAAGAACTGAGCCTGAGCTAGGAGGGAATGAGGAGCCAGAGTGGGGGCAGCTGCAGAGAAGGGGCTGTTTGCAAGATGAATGAACTCATGGTACAGAGCCAAGGACTGAGACCCTTAAAGGTGTGATGGGGGGAGACTAGTCCAGCAGTAATATGGGAGGAGCCTGAAAAAATGTCACTTCATATTTAAGGAAAGTTGACCCTGGACACTGGATTCCTGAAGAATTTTCAGGAAAAGACTGTTTGGCTACCTGTTTTGAAAATGTTATGGTAATGGAGTGGACAGAAAAGATCTTAGAAATAGGAAACCAGTTAAGGGATTCCTGGAAACCAGGCAAGGATGATGAGAATAGAACGAGAATATAGGGAGTGCTCCTTCTGGAGACATTTTAGAGGTCAGATCAATAGGACTGCATGACAATTTACTATAGGGCAGTGAGAGAAGAGGGGTGTCAATGAGAAATAATATTTATGTAGCTTGGGCGGTTGGGGGGCTGGTGACATGCCATTCACTGAATCAGGAAACAGATGAGGAACAGGTTTTCAGGAAAGACAATGGGTTCATTATGGGTGTGTTGAACTTGAGATGCCTATGAAACCTCCTCATAGAGATGGCCCGTAAAGAATTGAGAATACAGGTGGGTATCTAAGAAGACAGATCAGAGGGACGCCTGCGTGGCTCAGTTATTAAGCGTCTGCCTTTGGCTCAGGTCATGATCCCAGGGTCCTGGGATCGAGCCCCACATCACGTTCCCTGCTCGGCGGGAAGCCTGCTTCTCCCTCTCCCACTCCCCCTGCTGTGTTCCTTCTCTCACTTTGTTTCTCTCTGTCGAATAAGTAAATAAAATTCTTTATAAAAAAAAAGAAGACAGATCAGAGCTAAAGACATATCTCTGGGCATGATCCTCTAGCAGGTGCCATGGTTTTTGCTTATTGCCCTTTGATAAATATTAGGAAAGCAATACTCTTTTACTTCATTCATTCATTCACTCATTCATATTTATTTATTTTTAAGATTTGACGGGGGGTGGGGAGAGAGCGAACACAAGCAGGGGGAGGGCAGGCAGAGGGAGAAGCAGGCTCCCTGCTGAGCATGGAGTCCAATGCAGGGCTCCATCCCAGGACCCTGCCATCATGACCTGAGCTGAAGGCAGACGCCTACCTTATTGAGCCACTCAGGGGTCCTTATTCCAAAAGTATTTAATGAGTAGGCAAACCACAAGCTAGATTCTGGAGATAAATGATTAATAAGATCATTTAGAAGCTCATAGTCTTAGCAGAGGATTTGACCATGGACTGAAAACAGAGAGGCAGGTGTGGGGACCCACTCAGAATCCCAGAGCTGGTATAAAGAGGACTTTAAGCTGAAGACATTTGAGACTTAACAGATGCAGAAAGAAGCCTTCTCAGAGCTTCCTGTATTAGATTAAAAGCAGAAACTTCTAAGAAATGACAATTGCCTGAAATTCTCTCTTTGGGGTGGGTCTGCTCCCAGGAGAGAGCAAGGGTAAACCTACCATAAATCCCCCTCTGGGGGGAGTTTTGGCTCTGAAGAAGCTATAAAGACTACTCAAACCTGTATAGACAAACATTATCACAAACTCTTATCTCCCATTTGTCTCCTAAAAAATCAATTTGTCTTTCCCAAGGAAACCTATGTGTTCTTTCCATAGGAACCTTTTCTGTCTCCTCCTTTTCCCCTATTAAGGTAGGTAAATCCCAAATTCCAAACACCCCTTTGGGTTATTTATCATAGTATTCCCATATGTATGTTTGTCACACATGTAAATAACCTTTTTCTCCTGTTAATCTGTCTTTTGTTAGTTTAATTCACAGGCCCCAGCTACTGAACATAAGAGAGAGGAAGAAAAGTTCTTCCTCTCCTGCACCAATGAAGAGAGAAATTTCCATCCTGAATGGCTGGGATCATGAAAGTGGCACGACATAAAAGGGGCAATATAAAAAGATGATCAGATTTGGAAGAAAATGTCAGAGGCAATTCATTCCATTTTGGACATTTTCATGCACATAAAGTAGTGAGGGAGTTAGTTTATCTTAGGATTTACATCACCCAGTCTTCTCATACACTGTTCACCTCCCACTGCTAGTTTTTTCTCCTTCTTCATCCTTGACTCTCATACTCTTCCTGACAGTATCTCCTCCGGGCACAGGCAGAAAGCAAAGATAAAGTGGTTAAGATGTGAGACCCGGCTCTCTGCCGTGGCTAATTACCCACACTGGCTTCCCTTCCAGCTTTTCCACTGGGTTTAAGGTCTTGGGGGCTTTCAGACCTTGGAACAGACCAAGTCTATCCAAAGAACAGGTACTGAGTCTCTCGTTCTTTTCTGCTTGATCATTTCCCAAATTCTCCTTGGGACAAGTTATATTTAGATTTTGCTCCTTTCAGAACAAAGTTGCCTACATTAGCATTAGACCAGAAACCTCCCAAGCCCTACCCAAACATCAAGGACCATTTGAAGGACTTCGTCTCTAATTAATATTTTTTTGCCTGTTTACCTTCCTGTTTTTTCTATCATTCAGTGCCTACCAGGTTCAATGGCTGCAATGTGCCTCAGATTGTGGCCCCTTGCTTTGCTCTCTAATTACCTCACATATTTAATCTTTGCCTCTCTTACTCTTTGAGAAAAAGAATTATTTCATATAGTTCTCTTGTAGTTCCTCAACTTCATTCAGCACTGGGAATATAATAGAGACTCAGTTAATAATACTTCTTTGAATCGAATTAGATGGAGTTAAGTGGATTTCTACATCTGATCAGATAGTTTTTTTTATTCAAACTATAATTTAATAATTTATAATTCAAACTTCATGACAGTCTTGGTGTGAGTGTTTTAAAAAATCAAATCTTTCATGCTCTCTGCTCAGAGAAAACCCATGGGTCCACGAGAAAGAATGGAGACTCTGGTGCCACAATGTGATTTTTGTTGTTGGCTATGACTTTGGAAATCAGGAATGTTCAGAAAATACACATTCCAGAATTCCAGGCCTACACATTCTGGCTTGGTTTCAGCATGTTGACTCTATAAATGGCTCCTTGACATACACACCGTTTTCAATTCTTTACACAATTGTCTTAGGGTGGAATTTTCTGTTCTCCTCCCGCCAGAATCCCAGTGTTGCTTCACCTCCCACTGTGGACGTACATGACGCTTTGTAAAACAGAGGGCTCTAGTATATTGTGAGCTTTGACCGTTTGGCTCCTCCAGGACTCCTTCTGGCCTTCTTCTCTGAGAGGGCAGGTGCATATGCTGACAGGGAGGAAAAGGAAGATGGAAGCTTTTAGTGTTTAAAAAGGAGAAAACGATTTTAGCTGTATAGTAACTACAAATATACATATGTGGGAGCTCCTGGGACAGACCCTGGGTTTCATTTCAAGGCAAATTGCAGGGCTTACCTCTACTTTATCCAAACAATCTTGAGGTTTTAAAGCCTGTCCAGGAGGCCGGGGACGAACTGATGACTTCATACTGAAATCATGCAAACTCATGAGCTCATGGGCTAGAAGATGAAACTGGAGGAGACAGCAGGACTTCGAAGGAAGTTGCAGGAAGTCTGTATAAGATCACAGCAATGCGGAGAGGTGAAAGTGGGGAAACCAGGCTGCTGGAATGTGGAGACTTTCTTGCAGGGACTTGTAGTGAAATGAAACTGCTTGGTTTCACTCAAGTGCCAGCAAGACTCTCAGAGAAACTGGACGAGCAGAACTGGAAAGCCAAGGGACACTTTGCTTTTTGCTCTCTCTGACCCCAGTGAGTGCCATCCTCAGGATAGGATGAGGTCACGGCGATCTAGCCCATCCTCTCTCTGTGTGCAGTCCCCGAGGCTGGTGTTGCATTACTCTCGCTCCCCTGGGCTGCACAGAGTCATCCACTTGTCAGCTCTTTGGTCTGAGACGGCAGGCCCCGGGGTGCCGCTGGACCTGGTCCGGGCTCCCAGAAGCCTGAGCTGGGGCGTGGGTGGGGTTGGGAGTGGCCCTGGGCTCCCATGACACCAGGAGCACAACGTCCAAGTCAGACAGACGGAGGGAGCAGAGGTGTTGGTTTGAAGGAAGAGTCAGACAAGGTGGAATGAGGCACAAGACCAAAGCTGAGAAAACCTTATCAACGGGAGCAGGTGCAATGTAGCCAAAGGGGCTTTTCCTGAGACACCAGAATCCTGGTCACGGAGGGGAGGCTGTTAAGTGCCCTGTATCCGTCAGTTGCACAGAACAGAACCCATCTAGTTGTTTTATGCAGAAAGGATTTATTTCAGGGACTTCCGTGACTTATAGAATTATTGAGAGGGCTAAAGAAGCAGACTCAAAATCAAGGTTTCATGGGATGCCTGGGTGGCTGAGTTGGCTAAGCGTCTGACTTCGGCTTGGGTCATTATCCCGGGGTCCTGGGATCGAGCCCCACATCGGCTCCCTGCTCAGCGGGGATCCTGCTTCTCCCTCTCCCACTCTCCCTGCTCATGTTCTCTCTCTGACAGATAAATAAAACAGTCTTTAAAAAAAAATTAAGGTTTCAGGAACAATTCCCTAAGTGACATCACAGAAACAGGCCACCCAGGGAGCCGTGGTTTCTTCTGCATTTGGAGGCTGCCTTCTCAGTCAGGGAGCTAGCTCTGGAGTCCCCACCCACTGACAAGATGGGGAGCCTGCTGTGACTGGGGGGCCGTGGCCACCTCCAACCCTTGCTGGGCCCGCTGCAGTCGGCACCACCCAATGAATGCATGGCACCTGCTCTGACACTCAGGAGTCCGGTGACGGAAGGCTGGGGTCTCTGCTCCCACCACCACAGGACAGCAGGTGCCCCCATGAGTGGCCTGCCCAGAGAAGCAGCAAAAACAACAGAAGTAGAGAAGCTTCATTTTCACTAGACCTAGCTCTAGCACATGCAAATGGAGGTTCACTCCCCATATATGTTAAATGCTAAAAGTTACAAATCAAATATGTTCTACAAATATGCTCTGTTGCATGCACCCTGCAAATATGTTCTACCCTCCTACTTTGACAAATACACCCTTATTAACAATGTGGACATTCAGAGTCAAATTTAGATTCTTGAACTCCTCTGAAGAATGTGCCAGAACTTGGCAGTGTGGGAGAGCTAGCCCTTCCCCCCAGTCTCCTGCCACCATCAGCTTGTCCTACACGGCCAAGGGCTTTGTGCCCACGTGTGGATGCTCCAGCTCCCACGTCCAAGCTCTGCTCAGACAGCAAACCCCCCCTCTGCTGCCCATTAGTCACCCCTCGTGGAGCTTGCTTTGCTTAATGATTCTACTTTCAGCCTCCAGTCCCCTCTGTTCTCTTCCCTACCCACGGAGCTGATTTCAAGGGTTTGGGGGAAGTAAGAAATGCTTCTGCTTACAAGGAACTGAAAACCCGGGCGCCTGGGTGGCTCAGTTGGTTAAGCGACTGCCTTCAGCTCAGGTCATGATCCCAGGGTCCTGGGATCGAGTCCCACATTGAGCTCCCGGCTCAGCAGGGAGCCTGCTTCTCCCTCTGACCCTCTCCTCTTTCATGCTGTTTCTCTCTCGCTCGCTCTCCAATAAATAAATAAAATCTTTAAAAAAAAAAAAAAAGGAACTGAAAACCCATTGGTCTCTAGTCTAGGAGACAGGAGAGCAAGGTAGGGAGTACATGGGCTTTGGCAGTATTAGATTGCATCTGGCAAGTTATCTAAGTTCTCAAAGCCTCAGTCCCTTCATCTCTGACATGGGACTAACAGGATGCTGTTTAAGAAAATGCATGGAGGGGCACCTGGGTGGCTCAGTCGTTAAGCGTCTGCCTTCAGCTTAGGTCATGATCCCAGGGTCCTGGGATCGAGTCCCGCATCGGGCTCCCTGCTCAATGGGGAGCCTGCTTCTTCCTCTGCCTCTCTCTCTCTCTGTCTCTTATGAATAAATAAATAAAATTTAGGGCGCCTGGGTGGCTCAGTCGTTAGGCGTCTGCCTTCGGCTCAGGTCATGATCCTGGGGTTCTGGGATCGAGTCCCGCATCGGGCTCCCTGCTCAGCGGGGAGTCTGCTTCTCCCTCTCCCACTCCCCCTGCTTGTGTTCCTGCTCTAGCTATCTCTCTCTCTGTCAAATAAATAAATAAAATCTTAAAAATAAATAAATAAATAAAATTTACAGAAAAAAGAAAAAAGAAAAAAGAAAATGCATGGAAAGTGCTCACTCCAGCGCCCAGGCCAGTAGGAAATGCTCCAAAAGAGTTAGCCATTATTAGTGTTGTTGTGATTACAAACGAATTGGTAAGACTGACTATACGGAACAGTCAAATTATTAGGGTCTTCTTGGGTCTTGCACCAGATTTCAAATCAGATGGATTCTTACACTCTCCATTCAGTCTCTGCGCCCTGAGCCGGCCATGGGTACTGCTTGGACCAGGCTGGAGAACAGCAGCCTTCATCCTGCCAGTCTGCTGTGCCTGATGATGGCTGCCGGGGAACTGTGCTGGGGGGGAGCCCGCAGCCGAATCTGGGCACAACCCTGTGATTGATTAATGATGCCTGCCCCTGGTGTGGGAGGAGAGAGGGCAGTATGTGGCCAGGTATTTGGCACTCTTGGCCTAGACCTCATTTCTGAGCAGTAGAAAAGAAAGCAGACTTGCAGAGAAACACTAGGATGGAGTCCCACTTCTCCCGGCCCCGGGCTCTGGGAGCAGGGGCCAGCCACTCGACCTGCCTGTGCTCAGATGCTTCATCTGTCTAATGAGGATAGCCAGGTTTTCCCTGCCTACCTTACAGAGTTATTTGTGAGAGTCAAATGAGATAATGCTTATAAAAATGCCATCAGTTGTGAGGTGTTGCCTAAATGCAACGTGTTTATTATCAGTGGGTGGTATTTGGCCAGTTTGTACTTGACAAAGAGGAAGCGCCAAGTCAGGGATAGCCTTGGTCTGCCTCTGCCTGGATCATGTCGGCCTGTCTCTGCATCCTCCGTTAGTTTCCGAGGGCTGACCTGCTGGGAGGGAGCCTGGTAGGGCAGAAAGAACTTGTATTCCAAGCCAGGTGCCACCTCACTTATTGACTGCGTGCTTTAGGTCAAGTTCCGTAGCCTGTGTGAGCCTCACTTTCTTCATCTGTGACACGGAGATGGGATAAAGACAATGGGGACATCTGTTCTGACTGTCCCAGGGCAAAGACAAGATGCTGGTGAGATCCAAAGTGGTAACGATCCTTTATGGTGATCTGAGCCGTGTTCAGCCTCGTTCTTCTCACTTCTTTGCTGATGATTTGAACTGAGGTGGTTGAATGAAGATGAAGAATGAGGCAGCGCAAAATGGCAGAGTAACACAGGATCTACTTTTGCTCAGTTAAAAACCAGAGGAGTCATCCTGCTAGGTAGACTATTTCCTTACATTCTGCCGGGAGAGGGAAAAGGGCATTCAATCCTCTATCTTCAGAGCGTGGAGTAGACGCTCAGCTCGGCACCAGCGGCCGCCTGGGCTTTATCCTCAGGTCCCCAAGACTGCCCGGCCTAGAGAAAGGAGACATGAGGGGGTTGCTGAGTTCACTATCCCTTTCTCCTGGACAGTACACACGGCTTCATCTGTGAGGGCTGGGGCTTACCAGGAATGCAATAAAGAAGTGAGTTTCAGAGGGCTGGGCCCTTCCTTAGCCCTGTGTCCTGGCCACTCCTCAGTGATCTCAGCTGACCCACTCTGGGCCCCATTCAGAAGGAAATCTGGAGACCTGAGTTGAACTTCACGTTTCTAAGCTATGACGAGCTCCTCTCCCCTCCCAGGACTTGCCCAGCTCCCCTCACCTAGCGGCACCAACACATTGGAAGTGCCCCAGTCACTATGGAGTTCTGTTTCTTCCTTCATGGAGGAGGGAACCGAGGTTACAGGCAAAGTGATGGGACTGAAGTCACACAGCCAACACCCCTGCCCCCCCCCCGTCTATGGCTCCTTCATCCTCAGCCCTGCCTTCTGCTACTGATTCTTAGTAAAGAATGTATCAGATAGGGGCACCTGGGTGGCTCAGATGGTTAAGCGTCTGCCTTCAGCTCAGGTCATGATCCCAGGGTCCTGGGACCGAGCCCCACATTGGGCTCCCTGCTTGGCGGGGAGCCTGCTTCTCCCTCTCCCTCTACTGTTCCCCCTGCTTGTGCTCTCTCACTCTATCAAATAAACAAATAAAATCTTAAAAAAAAAAAAAAGATATTTCCCCATTTAAAAAAAAAAAGAATGCGTCAGATATAGGGATCCCTCCGCATGAATGTGTTAGGAGAGTGCTAAACGCTAGTTCAAATGCTCACGTTTCCCCAGCGTGTGAGGCCAACTGTGGGGACCTGGGGCATTTGGCTGGAGGCCAAGAAAGAGCACTGGGTCACGCAGTCAGCCACCTGGCTGGTGGTTTGCTTCACCTACAGGGAAGGCTGACTTTCCATCCCGGAGTCCCATACATCAACTCTCCCACCATCCAGAGACAAGAGAGTCCTTGTGGGAAGCCAGGCGGTGGCCCAACCCTGACCTCACACGGGGCTGCCCTTTCTTGTTTCCCAATCCTTCCTTGCCCCAGCCTGTTTCGCTGAGGGCGAACAATGCTCGAGTCTGCAGGTGG